GTAATTAATTAGTTGCCGTGAACGCTTTGCATAATTAATCGCCGTAGCCAAATACCAATTCAATAAATAATCATAACTCTAATAAAATAAATATTCCGCCGATCGCCCACAGCGATTGACGAAACAAGCACTCGATGTCCAAGTAACAATAATACTCGAGATTCAACGTATTTATTTAAATCGCGCATTCAGTTTTCAAATTTTGCTTTCAATTTAAATCCTGTAACTTTTCTAACAAGCAGTAAATTCGTCAGTGATTTGGGATTTAGGATTTGGGATTTAGGATTCGGTTCGTTAAGCGTTTGCAGTCGCCCTTTGCAGACTCTATCGGACCCACTGAAAAAGGAGCGATACGATAAGTTCGGCACCTTCGATGAGCCATCGGCGCAGTTCGGCTCATTCAGACATCCGGCCGCACATCCTTTCGACGATTTCTTCGGATTCGGATTCGGTGGTTTTGACAATGGGAATTCGTTTTTTCAACGGCATCGCATCTCGATGAAGATGTTCTCGCACACGTTGTTGGAACGAAGCTTCACACAGCCACTGATCGTGTTCGCTTACTCGGGATATTGCCAACTCTGCTTCCGACTTGAACCCGTCTGGCAGAGCGTTGTACAAGATCTTGAGCCTCTGGGTGAGTTCGATTGAGATCCTTTTAGTTGTTGTTGTTTTGAGCGATTCAGTGATTAGGTAATACGGGATGGGGAGAGTTCAATGCATGAGTGATCACCCGATCAATCAATAATCGAAGTGATTATTGTGATTATTGTGACCATCTATTTTTTGTCGCGACCATATACACTTTGTTACGGTTTAAACTTTATTCGGGTTGTTTGAAAAAGGTTTTTTAAGCAATGTTAAACGATAACATCACAATAATTAATTAGTTATATCATCATTTATATTGCTTATATGTAGTGGAGTCTTAAGGTGGATGATTTAACGAGATTAAGCAGCAGACAGCTTTGAAGATTATCTCTCCGGTGAGGATATCACAGGATTTGTGGTGCTTATAGGACTGATTCCCCCAGCCTAGATAGAAATCACTGGGTAATACGGGATAGGAAGTAATTCAAAACCTGACTGATCGCTGGATCAATCAATAATCGAAGTGATCTCCTGATCAATCAGTGATCGAAACGATTGTCAAATCAATAATCGAAGTTAGAATCTCATGAAGACAGCAGCAGCAGCAGATTCCCAGATTCCCAACTGTCTAATCGTTAGCTGCGGGAAAAAAAATGCCAACGAAGGAAGAATGTGATATTGTGATAAGAGATAGGCATTGACTCGTAATGAGTGGGATTTGGTGATCAAATAGATAGAGTGATTAATGTTATTTTAATTGAAGGATATGGCATCGGCACAGTGAATGCGATCACGGATGGGAATCTA